GTAGAACATTACTTGACAGTATTAGCGACAAAAGATGTATATAGTCGCAATAGCACTCGACAAGCCAAATAAAATGGTATACAATATATAAATATACTGTTAGGCCATTTGTAACTTACAAAATGAAAGATTATTCTCTGTAGAAACATGTACAAATTTTCTTAAAGTACTCATGTGCCAATGCGAGAAACCAATGATACATATCGCAGAAAGAACAAAATGAAAGCCATTAAACGATTGTAATAGGATCACTATTGTATTGCGTATTCATAGGCTAGTTTAATATGATGCTCATTTTATAAGCTACACTATTAAAAATATCATAAAATTTTATTGTATTACATTAAATTTAATGTATTTGTAACTGAAAAATATATTTGTGTACATGTATGTAACATTTAATGATGCTTTTCATAATATCAATTTTATTATAAATTTAATATACTCCATAATATCAAATATTTTATGTGGATTTGTAGTTATTTTATAACCGCTACATGTTACATGTTACTTGAATTAATTTCGAAATTTTTAACAGTGTAGTTTAATGTCGATGTATAATGCCATATTGAACAAACAAAGATTGCATTATTAAAAAAACAACCTAGTCGGTAATATACCATACTCTATTGCATTTGTAAGCATTATATAATATTTAAAAAAAATGTCAGAGGCACTACTCTCAAAGCTAATCGTTTGATGTTTTCTGTGAACAATTCATGTACAAAAGACTGTGATAACGCATTGTTGACAAAACAAATATCTATGAAAATGTTTGTGCTAACCGAGACGACGTATAACAATGTATTATATTTTTAAAACTATTGTATATAAAGTGATCGTTGGCGATAAAATTAAAAGTTGCGTCCTATTACTCCGGTCCACGTTATTTCCTGTACTATGTGTACACTATGAATATTATTGCTAGATTATTAGCTAACTATGTTATGAACAGTATTATGTTATTACGAGAGCAAGTGGTAATAAAACTTTCTTGGAAACTATATCTGATATTACATTCTTTGCAATTTGCGTCTAGAAGTCTTCAATTATTATTATCATGACCAAGTGTTTCGAAGAATGAAAATTGAAATAAGAGTAAAAAAAATCGAAAAACATTCTTTTTATCATAAATATCTTTTTTAATAACTTGATAAATTTTTATATAAAACCTTTGTAAGGAATAAATCTATTTTATGATTTGGAATTAAATGGCTTCATAATGTATATTATAGTTAATTAGAACACAGTATGATAAGCAAATATTACATGAGCTTCTGTTTTAGGACCTGTCATTTCGGTACATGATACGGAGTATGTACTGCTTCAAGCCAGTCCGCTGTTTCACTGGGTACCAATTAATGACGAGCCAGGCAGTTCGGATGATAGTTCGCACGACTCCACTATGTTCCTTCAACGTACCAATTCTCAGCGTAGCATCACATCTCAACGAAGTACAAGGTCCACCTGCTCACATAAGACCCTAAAGAGAAGCGGCAGCAACATTAGCACTAGACCGTCCTCGCTATTTATTTCTCCACCTTCGTCACCGAAACCTGCGATCAGATCGAAGTCGACCGATGAGAGATATATGGGGAAAAATATATCCCAGAAGACCACGCCATCGTCTGTGTCCACCAAGAAACGCTCGTCCTCGACGTTTAATAATGAAGTAATGATATCGGTTCCTACTTCCAGCCTGGAGAAGCTATCAAGATTAAAGGACCGTTTAATTGGCACTGCGCCAACGGCGGGATCACCGGCACCCGGTGGTGAGAGCGATGACGAATCTACGCCACTGGTCTCTGAAATGTCCACGCCAACACATTCCCAATCAGACAGCGTGTTCAAACATGACTGCAGTGCAGAGAATAGCAGTTCGCCGTCGTCGAACAGGAGTCTACCGCGGGATGGAGAACGTCGAGTAGACTTGGATTACTCTGATACTGTGAGTCTTGTGATACGCGAGTCCTCGAACGCTCAATCGCAGTCTCGGCATGCTAAGACGCGGAACGACACAGAGACGCCTGTCTGACACCTGTCGTCTTCTATACATAACACGCGATAACTTGGCGCATTGTATGTTTAATTGTGATAAAGATGACTGGCATCTGTTGAGCAAACTTATACGCTGTAATTTTATTTTGACGATAAGCATCGAGATAAGATATCTCTTATGTAAATAACGAATGATGGAACGAGCAAATTTTTTAGCTAGACTATTGAACGTGTTCATCTGCTTAGTAATTTGGAGAACGAACGATGCCTTCTTGCGCAAGTCGTGCAATAATCCTTAGTTTAGTGAAACGATCTCAAAATACATGATGCCGATGCGACCATTCCATGTAAATATTAATCAATGCATTTACAAATGCAGATATTTATTGACATTTTCTTTTTTATACTGATGAATAGTACTGAAATGTGTTGAAACGTGGGAAATGAGGAATATTTCCTGATGTACAGTATCAAAGTACCTTGTTCCCAGTATCAATTTAAGTCAATTCATAATGTCAGTGCAAATATAGATGACTTAAAGAATAAATATTGGAAAGAATATTTTAAAGAAGAGATAATTTAAACGACCAGTACACGATTATTGATTAGACATAAATTCTATCTATAATTTTATCAAACAAAAAATGCAGAATGTCTCAAAAATAACTTATACAAATTTTTATTTATATATTACTTTATATTTATTTCCAAAGTAAAAAGTTTTTATAATGAATTTTATTAGAATATTGCAGTATGAACACTTATTCGCTGCTTTAATACTTCTTTATTAATTTTGGTGTATTTTTTCTTTATCGAATTACGATGTATTACTAAGTAATCACAGAGAAAAAGTATTAATGATACATTTGTTTTATTAATGGCAAAAATTGCAATTACATAACATTAAATATTTAGGACACTTTAGGACGGAATACATCAGGGTATTGATCATTCATTACAATATATTGTAAATATGTATATACATATGTATATATA